CTCATTCCCCCACCCCCTTAATATAGATAAAAATCTATATAATCAACTATAACTCACCGTTTTTTCTATCTTCTCTCTAGCCGTCTCACACATAGATGCATGAGAATTGGTGTAACGCACCATTACATATTGATCCCTTTATATAGGAAATATTACAAGCTAAAAATCTTCATAACAATAATGCTATCTTCACCTAGCTATATAAGATCAACCCCTATATTAATTATATTGTTGAAATAAGACGTACTATTTGATCAACCACAAAATTATTCCACCTAAAAGCATTCACGTTGGTTTGAATTCTACGTGGCCATTTGTTCTTCTTTTGACAAGAAGCATTATATATCGAGTTCGCGTCGTTTAATGTTGTACAATATCTCTTTCGACCCACCAAACTCTTAGCCTTATCCACCAACAAGTTATTTTCTTGTTTTGTTAAACCGCCTGCAGACGAACGTCCTTCAACATACTCAGCAAAAGGATGGTTGTCATAAACAATTCCGACTTTTGTTATTCAACAAAATTACGATATTTGAAACGAAACAACTTTTAAGTGGGCACTTCAACTCTGAACTGTTTATCTTTCAAGTTGCATCTCATAGATCATACTTGTAAAATATTAGCCAAATTGAAAATATTTGAGACATCTAATTGAGTTTAAAGAAATTGACGAACACTTTATTTTATTAGAAACAATAAAATTTCATCATAATAATTAAATAGGCAAATAGTTTCGAATTGAATTGAATTTTTGCAATAACGATCTATGAATCAAGACTTACAAAATAGACGGTTCAGATCGTTGAAATTTGATGTGAAATGAATCCCGCAATTAATCTTCATTTTTTGAAAAAAAAAAAAGAAATTTCTTCTCTTAAAAAGCCTCCCTTAAGTATATGTTCGGTACTGTACCGAACATTATTTTAGCTTCCAACCGTTGCTCCAAGTCCTTTTCGTTCAGCCCCGTATTGCTTAAAATAAAATATAAAATAAAAATAAAAAAGAATAAAAAGGTAAAGTTTCATACCTTGTTTGACGACTTCCGGACAATACAAAAATCATCCGAATTGGATTAGGATTCTCTCCCCTCCTCTTTCCATCCCCTTTTATTCCCTCCTCTCACATTCTCTATTTTATCTTTCTCTTTCCATAAAAAATTAATATAAGATATTGACGCGGCTTAACCGTGACCGTTCAAATAGGAAGGGAGGGAAGGGGAAAAAAAAAAAAAAAAAGAGGGTAGAGAATCCTACTCCGTCCGAAATAACCATACTTCGGAGCACCAAAAAGTTTTATCCTTTTTTTTTTTTTTTTTTTTTTGGTGGTCCTCTTGGTTACTTTGAATGTTACTCTAGTGGTAACCACGAGCTGGTGGTCCAGTGGTAAAAAGTGGATTACGAAACTTTCTTAAAACTAAAAACTGGAGGTCTCAGTTTCAAAACCAACTGCTGGTGTGAAAGCCAGATTTGTAACCAGAGAGAGGCTGAAATGTCTCTGTGAGTCTTTCCGGCCCTGGAAGGAGTCGATAACCATGGCTTGCCACCAAATCGTCTCCCTTTAAAAGAATAAAATAAAATAAAATGTTACCCTAGTGGTGAAAAAGCTCGCAATGAGATTCGTTAGGAATTAAAGTTCAAATCTAAACTTCCGACAGGCCCCCTAAAACAAAATTGTGTCTCACATGGATTCGTTTTTTTAAAACCAAATCAAGAAACCAAAAACATTTAGGGGTGTGCTATCCACACATCCCATTTTACTTCTCACACACCCTTAATAATTTATGTTTGTTGATCTTCTTCAATTCATCTGATCCGATGGTTGAAAATTAAAAAGATGTGTGAGAAGTAAAATGGAGTGTGTGGATATCACACCCCAAACATTTATTGTCAGATATTAGGGTTCATAACTAATAGGCACATATAGGCAGGAAATGTTTTAAGCTTTGAACAAGAAATCGAGAACTAATAGCTCCATGTCCAACACCAAAACTAATAGCCACACAAGGGTTCAAAACTAATAGCTCCAGGTCCAATTTCAGTTAAACCCTAGTATCTGGATTTAGTTTGAAAAGAAGAATTTTAGCCTGTCGGCGTGAGACTAGCGTGCGCTTATTTGACAGAAGACTAACAAAAGTTTAAATTTAGACCTCAATTGCCAACGTAGCTCATCACAAGGACTTAGTTAACAATTTTTTCATCATAAAAGTGACATTAAAAGTGTCATGTCACCACAAAAACAAAAAAAAGAAATCTCTTCTCTTAAAAAGCCTGCCTTAATTATATGTTCGGTACTACCATACCGAACATTACTTAAGTTTTCAACCATTGCTCCAAATCCTTTTTGTCCAGCCCTGTATTGCTTAAAATGAAAAATAAAAAATAAAAAGAATAAAAAGGTAAAGTTTCATACCTTGTTTGACGACTTCCAGACAATACAAAAACCGTCCGAAATGGATTACGATTGTCTCCATTCCTCTCATATTCTCTATTTTGTCTTTCTCTTTATATAAAAAAAATTAATATAAAACGTTGACGTAGCTTAATAGTGACCGTTCAAATAGGAGAAAAGGGAAGGGGAGAGAAAAAAAAAAGGGAAGAGAATCCTACTCCATCCGAAATAACCTTACTTTGGAGCACCAAAAAGTTTTATCCAAACCACCTTTTTTTTTTTTTTTTGTGGTCCTCTTGGTTACTTTCAATGTTACCCTAGTGGTAACCACGAGTTGATAGTCCAATGGTAAAAAGTGGATTACGAGGCTTCCTTAAAACAAAAAACTGAAGGTCTCAAATTCAAAACCAGATGCTGGTGTGGAAGCCAGACTTGTGGCCAAAGAGAGGCTGAAATGCCTCTGTGAGTCTTCTCGGCCCCCGGAAGGGATCGATAACCGTGGCTTGCCACCAAATCGTCTCCCTTTTAAAAAATAAAATAAAATAAAATGTTACCCTAGTGGTGAACAAGCTCGCAATGAGCTTCGTTAGGAATTAAAGTTCAAAACTAAACTTCCGTCAGTCCCCCTAAAACAAAATTGTGTCTCACACGGATTCGTCCTTTTAAAACCAAATCAAGAAACCAAAAACATTTATTGTCAGATATTAGGGTTCATAACTAATAGGCACATATAGACAGGAAATGTTTTAAGCTTTGAACAAGAAATCGAGAACCAATAGCTCCAGGTCCAACACCAAAACTAATAGCCACACAAGGTTCAAAACTAACAGCTCCAGGTCCAATTTCAGTTAAACCCTAGTATCTGGATTTAGTTTGAAAAGAAGAATTTTAGCCTGTCTGCGTGAGACTAACGTGCGTTTATTTGATGGAAGACTAATAAAAGTTTAAATTTCAATTGCCAACGTAGCTCACCACAAGGACTTAGTTAACAAATTTTTCATCATAAAAGTGACATTAAAAGTGTCAAGTCACCACAAAGATTACGAAAAAACTCGTAAACTTGTACATTGTTGAAGTGTGTAAAGAAAAGCATGAATTATTATATCGTTCCTTGTTGGAGGAAAGAAGATAAACGATAGATTTTTTATTTTTTTATTTTTTTCCTAAAAGAATATCAGTTTGTGTATGCGTATAGAGGGCCTGGTTTTTAAATACAAAAACTCTTCTAAAAATTCAAAATCTAACTTTGAAGATTCAACACAACAAGTATCCATGAACAAAGAAAACAAGTCGATACAACGTGTTCCTGCAAACCCTGCAAGCCCTAGGTAATGTTGTTAAAGGATCGTCAACAAGAGCGCTCTAGCGCGTTATAGATTCTTATCATAGCCATCAATATAATTTTTAGTGGAACCTGTAGTTAAGAGGATATAAACTTATTACACATGTTAGTTAAGCTATAGTAATCTTGCTTTCTTGGTGATGAACCAAATAAATAAATATTGACAAGAGAAAGAAACAAACTGAGAAAATCAATTGAAATCTGGGAGAAGAGTAATTCAATCAAGAAATATTTGCTTCCTCTCCCTTCCCGCCTTCCCGCCTTCTCGTCCGCACTCGTCCACACGTCCTCTCTTGATATAGAAACTAGAACCTCTACTTAAACTATCAATCACTCCGGCCTCTCCTTTTCTTCACCAACTCTCCATATATACCCGTCTTCATTTTCTGAACCGGCATTGATGCTTTCTTAGGACATCTCTCCTAACACAACTAACTCTGGTTAGACCCTGGTCCCTTCAATGGAAAGTTTCAACTTTCAACCACATCAGCAACTTAACACCAGCAAACACCCTTGTTTGATTAGGTGCTTATGATGCAATAACAAAGCATGCGCACACGCATCATAACCTTGATTCTAAACTATATACAGGAACACTAGGCAGTTCTGGTGAACAGAAGCCTTTTACCGTGATCAGAAGGGCCTAAACAAAGTAGACACAGAACCGAAGAGCACAAGAACATATTCCAGAGAAAAGGGACACAACACAGGCTGGTCAAGGACTATGAATAAAGACCCATGGATCTCCAAAGAAGTTTTAAGCTCCACAATGATCAACCATCACCAGTTTTAATTTGTATTCTTCTTTAAGTTTGTTGCTGCTAAATTAGTTTTCAGATTGATTTAGTTTTATACGGGATCAACATAATTGCTCATTTCCCAATTTGCTAGAACAGACAGTAAGATTGACCATTTCTAGTAGTTTCGGAATATGCTAAGCATTCAAAGTTTTAATTTAAGTACTCTAATTATAAAGTTTTCTAGTTTGTATCAAGGTCACATAGAAATTCCAACAGTTTCAAGCTTCTATACGCATGGAACCTTTGAACCGGATCACTATCGTGCAGAAACCATAACCAAAATCATATTATGAATGAAATTATTAGGATATGCAACGAAAAAACTTAGCAGAGCACATCTTGCGGAGACCATTATAAACATTATGTTTGAAACATCTATTAACAACCCTATTAAGAATGAAGTGAGTCACTACAGGTAAAGTGGTACAGATCGAATTGAATAACATAAGAAATCAAATCGAAACAGACACTAGCAGCAGAATCAATACAATCCATTGTAATCCGAAATCAATATCAGCATTATATAACGAAATCATTATCAGCAATTTTTTAACTGAAAATCCTATCAAACAAATTCTACAAGGCACGGTATCTTAAAGCATCAAACTTCTTATAACAGGTAAAAGAGCAATAATACAGTTGAAAGGAAAACAGAAGTAGCAGCAGACCTGAACCATCATCAACTCTATCAATAAATCCGATAAGCGGGATGCAAAATATTGAGTGGGTAGCATCAGCAGTAGCACAGTCAAATACAGATGGGTAGCAAAAATTGAACACTACCCACTTTTAAAGCTCGAACTCCTCGTCCCTAAGAGCCACCTCTGCCGCCTCTTCTTCCTCCTCATCGAGAATAAAGTACTCATTCCTCTCCACCGGCCTGAACATATAGAACATCACCATGTAAAACGCAAGGCTCACAGTCTCCTCAGCCGCATTGCTCACCCACTGGTACTTATACGCGGCAATGGTCTTGAGCGCAAAAACAACGATTCGCGTGAAGTACAAGTACCCAATAACGACAACGTAAAATTGCCTGAAAAGGGTCAGCTTTGCCAAGTTCCTGGCGGCTTTTCCGTCTGTTTTCGAGGTTTCTCTCAGAGACCTGATGGACCAAACAATGGGGAAGATGATAGCGCAGCAGCAAATGATATCAACCAACAAGAAGATCTGGTTCCAGGTGACCCAGTCCTTGATAAATGGTCCCGTCTCGCCGATCACAATCGAGGCTACGTTGGCCAAGACCTGCAGAGGGATCACAATCATCAACACCTTCTTCTCCTTCTCCTGCAAAAAAGGCTTCAAGAACGACCACCCGGTCCCGATCAAAACGATCACGGTAAACAACAAAATGACACGGAGGAACTGGAAGATGTAGAACAACACATCCCAGCCGTGCGCGGTGCCGGTGACCTTCACGTAGTGCTTGTCCTCCGCCGCGCTAATCAGATTCAACGCCTTCATCAAAAGTAATCCGCCCATCAGAAGATGGATCCGGTGCACGGATCTCTTGTTGGTGTAGCAGAGGTAGACCCAGAAGCCCACAAACACCAAATACGCGAGAAAAAAGACCGAAAACAGCGACGGCAGGTTGGTCAACCCGGCCGAAAGGTAGTCGTGGGAACCATCCGGGTCAAGATTGTAGACCTCTGTCCGTACGATCATGGATACGGTGGTCTCCGGCACGCAATTGGCGAAGAAGAGGCTGTATTCGTTGGGGGCGGAGACCGGGTAGGAGTGGCTGAAGGAAGCTTGCGGCGGCGGCGAGAGCTCCTTGAAATTGAAGAGGTGGGTGATGTAGCGGGAGTCCAAGACGCACAGCTGAGGGTTCTGCTGGATCTCGACGAGGACCTGGAGGAGGGACTCCTCGGAGAGGAGGAAGAAGCCGAAGCGGGAGGGATCGTTATCGGGGTGCTTGGAGGTGACGGACACCTGCGAGACCCGGATGCTCACGTGACCGGTGTGGGTGAACCCGAACTTCTCGAAGAGAATCATGGGGCGGTTGTCGGAGGAGATCGTGAGGGTCCTAATCTCCGCGGAGGAAGGGGAAACCAGGGCCGCCACCAGGACGGCGATGACGAGAGGGACGAGGGGTAGATTCGTCATTTTGCTCTCGGCGAAGGTCAGGGTTTGGCCTCTGGTGGGGAATTGGGGGAGATCGGGGCTAAGCTTGGGATTTTGGGGACGAAGGATTTGAAGGTGGAATGGCGTGGATTTTAAGATTTCTATCGGTTTGACCGTAATGCCCCTTTTTATGGGCCGAAATGAAGTGCAGTTGGCCGGCAGGCCCATTTCTTGTTCTTGCGTATCGGAGGAATATGGGAAACTATCGTTTTGTTTCTTGTATTTATACCCTTGTGTCAAATTAAGATCAAATTTTCCGTATACTAAAAAAACAGCGTTAGATCAGTTTTACGGTCTAATGGTATTTTTTTTATTTTAAAATGAGAGGTCTTAAATTCGAATCTCATGAACGGCGAATTCGATACCAAATTAAGTTGTCCATTATGTGCCTTAGCCAAACTCTCATACTCTTAGTGTAATAAAAGTATATCAATGTACTCAAAAAAAAATTAACAATGCCTCGTCATATTATAATTCAACTCAATTTATAATAAGTGCACATATTTTTTTTAATGGTGACCAGAGAGAAGCTGAAATGCCTCTATAAGTCTTTCTGACTCCCGGAATGATGAACTGCAGTGATGAAATCTAGGGGTGAGTTCAAAAAACCAAAAACCGAACCGAATTAATTAAATTAATATTTTTTTATTTAATTATCTGTTTTGGGTATTATTTTCTAAACCCAATTTGTAAGTCCAAATGTGTTGTGAGTTGTTAAGATACAAAGCTTCCAACAGGCGGAAATACATGTATGGGACATTGACGATATAGTATGTATCCGTCTTCTTTGGATAGTTTAAGTCATCAATTGTAGAGATAACAATCAAAAGCTGCATCAACAGATCATACAAAGTGTCAATATCTCGGTTTCTTACAAAAAGAATTAAAAAGAAAAACAAATGGGAAACAAATAGAGGCTCATGTTATAGCAAGAGATACCTTTATCTGGTTAAATGCCAGGAGCCTTAAACCAGCCATATCCAAAACCTTCACACACGTTCCAATATATTGTCCATACTTCTTCGTTGCGAAAGGCTACAACAAAAAGGGGGGAAAATCAGGCTCCTAAAAGAATTCCCTGTTAGAAAGATAAAACTAAACATTCTCAAGTACTGACTAATACAACACGATCTCTGTACCAAGGTTCTAAAAGACTCTAGGTGCTAGTCGGGCGACGAGCTGGGGCCTAGCGCCTAGGCAGCTAAGCGGGGTCTAGGCGGGCGCCTAGGCGGACTAGTCAGATTTAACTAAATCCATTATATTTCATGTAAATAAGTGTATGTATATACTAAAAATATATATAATTTCATCATAAACTACAAAATAGAATGACACATATATTATGAAGTATTGGAACATAATGAAAACATGGGGAACAAGCATATAATGTGTGCTCATTTAAGTATTCGACAAGTCTCTTACAATTTATTGAAAAAAAATAAAATGCAAAATGAAAGTTATCTATTTTTTGCCTAAGTGAGTCGATGCCTAGGCGGGTGCCTAGGTGGTCTAGGTGGGCGCCTTAGTAGGTCTATGGGTCCTTTCTTAATTTTCAAGCGCCTAAGCATTAATCGGGGAGGTAACCAACCGCCTAGCGCCTAGGCGGCGCTAGGCGGGGATTTTTAGAACAATGCTCAGTACTCATTCATTTGGATGTTAGACTGGACATAGTAATTTACCTACAATGACAACGAATCAAACAAGTAAGCATCATCACCACAAGAATAATAATATCGCATAATAGCATACAAACATGCACCAAACTACAGTTTAACAGAAACATGGGTACATAAAGCTCCTTATTTTAGAAAATTTACGTATCTACATGTTAATACATGACCAATGCTATAATATCTTGAAACTCCATGGTATACGTAATGACTCATTTTCTTAGCATTGGAAGTCTTAGTAACACCAAAATATAGAACATTATGCACATAAATTCTACTACCTTCTCTCATATCAGATTTTTTTTCATTTTTTGAAAAATAAAAAAATAAAAAACCGAAACGGAACCGAAAAAAAAATTGAACCAAACTGAAATTTCGGTTCGGTTTCGATTTTGGAAAAAAACCGAACCCAACCCTAATGAAATCACTAGCTGATCCTCATTTTTTTTTTCTTTTTTTAATACAAGCACAATATAACAATTATGTTGCTCATACATATTATAGCAAATAAAAATATACATTGCGTAGCAAGTGTTTTAAATAAACACAACCTATTTGAGTCAAATTAGGTCATAACCTTTCAATTTTCAACCAATTTGAGTTACAAAATTTTTAAAATAGGTCAAAATTAAGCATTCAATTAGGGGTGGGTTCAAAAAACCGAAAACCGAAAACCAAAAAAAACCGAAAACCAAACCGAACCGAGGCCGAAAAAACCAAACCGAACCGAAAAAAAAATCATAAATAAATACTAAAAAATACATGTTGCCATCAGGGTTTGAACCCTTTCCCTGCGGGTTGGGGTTGGTTGTTGCAAGCCAACTTGACTGTAGGCTTTGTGTTGTTATAATTGTACCAGTAATTTATTTATAGGTTTCTTATGTTTAATGCTTTATACAATTTCTTAACTTTACAAACCCTAGCCGTCTCACTCCCATTTCATTTCAGATCTCAAACACCTCTCTGTTCCGTCCGCTGCTTCCTCTTTGCCTTTGCTTCATCTCTCTCTCTCTCTCCCCCTCCCTCTCCCTCTCCTTCCTCTCTTCCTCCAAATCACTCTCTCCAGTCTTCTCCTGTCCTCCTCGCGGATTCCTTCTTCCAAACCATGATTTTCCCTCGCCCTTTTCGAGATCCGACGAAAAGAGGAATTGAAAGAGCTTGCGACGATCATGGCGATATCGCTGCAACAAAGGTTGTGGTTTTATTTATTTGTTAGTTCATAGGTTTTTAATTGTATGGTTACCCATTTGAAATTTATGTAATTTAAGGTGAAAAAGTTTGTATTTTTCTCTGAATATGTTTTGGAATTTTCTAGATCTATTGTGGACTTGACTATGAATTTGAATATGGGCACTGGGCATGCGCTATTGAAGTCCGATTATGGTATTTAGAAGAACCCAATTGCTTTTTTTTTTTTCGATTTGCATCGATCAGTTAATTTGTTGAGTTATTTCATGATTTTGTAAATTTTAAAGTTTTTGAATTTTGAATCCTGGTGATGTACATTTGCTTGAAGAATATATGTTTATGTATTTGCATAACTTTTGAAAATTTGAATTCGTTCTGCTTGATCACAAGTAGTTGAATTATTTGAATATATTTAGGATTTTGAGGCTCTCAATTCTCTGATATATGAGAACTGGGAGGTTGATAGGTAGGTTCCTTCCATTTACATCATTAAAAAATAAAAATAAAAAACCGAAAAAAACCAAAACCGAACTGGAAAAAACCGAAACCGAAAAAAACCGAACCGAAAAAAAAATGAACCGAACCGATTCGGTTTTGCACCGACCATTGACCGACCCTATTCAATCCAGTGGCCATCAAAATTGTCATGTGTTAGGCACATGAATGCATTTTTTGGGCTATCCATTTTATGTGTGGTCTCTCTGTGATCTTTATTATTGATTGACACATGTTCATAAACTTATTCGCATGTCTACAAACTTATTTATTTATTTAAGGGGATTAAGTTTATGGGCACATATCAATTATTGGTAGAAGCTATACACAAAATGAGTGCATGGAATTTGTACTCGCCAAGGCATCCACCAAGGTGACGAAGACGAGAGTAACAAGGAGCAATTTCATCATTTTTCTCTCGCCTCTCGATGAGGGTCGAGAGAGATGGTTTGGGTTTTAGGGACAAACGAAGGGGGATCGGGATGGTGTGGATTTATTATTGGGAGCATTTTGGTCAGTTATATTTATTTACAGTTATAGTGAGAGACCTCAAGTTCAACTACATTGATGACAAGTTCAATATTGTTGTAGACCTATTTAACTGAAGAATTATAAGGAGGGAGAGAGGTGCAATGGTAAGGAGATAGAGAAAGTTTGGTGTAATCAGAGGTGTGTGTTAACTTACTCGATTGTGCCTTTATTTATATTAGTAAGAAGGTAAGTTTCTTACCCTTAGGTATTACAAATTAATTAGGACACTATCTAAAAGATATTGTAGAATTCTAATAAGATTTACACAGCCACATTCCTAACCTAACTAGGATTGCAGTAGATATTTAATTATTACAGTTTGACAATTATTTTCCACTCCATTGAGCTGAAATGAGGCCTAATGGTTTAGAGCACTTCCACCCCTTTCTAGTCTCTTAAGGGATAGTTGATTTAATCCCCCCTCCCCAACCAAAAAAAAAATAAACAACTCCAACCCGTTTCAATCGACTGAGCTCTGGGGTAGCCCAATTGCTCACCCAGTGAGTAATCGAATGGCCCAACCCCCAGGGGTAGTGATGCAAGGCTAACGTTACAGTGACGTCAGCCACTATTAAAAATTAAAAATTAAATATAATAAAAAAATAAATAAAAATATAAAAAATTATAATTCTTTTCTATAAACATATAATCATGTTCTTTCACCTTACACCATGTTTTAATATTTTCAAATACTTTTAACAAATCTTTCATTATTATCCAAAATTAAAAATAAAAATATTTTTATTATTTTATTAAAAGAAAATGATAATATTTTAATATGAAAGTCTTGCACTATTCACTTCAGGGTGGCGATGCACTTGAATAATTACTATTCAGTAAAAGTAGTTACTGTTTATTGAAGGATTATATTACCTATTGCCCAGGGAGCTTTTTAAAGGTGGAAGTGCTCTTATGGGCTTAGCTCTAGTTTGGTACTGAGGTGATTCTGAAAAAAAAGTGGCTATAAAAAAAAAGCTGGGAGTTTTTTTATGTTTGGTAAACATTCAGCTTCAGCTTTTTTTCACAGTTTTGAGTGAAAAAAAACCAAAAACACAAAGCTGCAAAACCCAGCTTTGAAAAACCATCTTTTTTTCACATCTGTTTTACATAAAAGTTTATCGAACACTATAATACTGCTTTTTCTTTTTTCAAAAGCACTTGTACAAAAAAGTTTACCAAACACTCTA